GGGGGCTTCTATCTAACTAATAAAGTGTACCAAAAATTCAAACTGATTTAAAGTACATTTTTAAGGTATGTCATTGGACAATATTCTCAGAAAGGTAATTACCTAACCACAGCCCCACAACCTCTACCCCAGACAACGCTTGTCAAAAATTCTCCCAGGATAATCTCATTGAAAGAATAGAGCCAATGGGTTTATCTTGTCAGCTTAAATTCAGAATTGTTGAATAATACTGACCAAGAACTAGAATTAAGCAAGTCTCTGAACTAAACATTTGTATTTTTGTTTCAGATTACAAAACTATTCTAAATATTAGCTCAACTGAAAATAATAACTTTTCAAATTATGTGTTAAAGAAAGATATTATAAAGACGCATTTCAATACTAGTAAAACAAATGAAGTAATAGCAGCTGTCAGTTTTAAGTATAATTATTTATTAATACCAGTACATTTACATATTATAACAGGGGAAGAAGCAGGGATCTTGTTAACTTTTACAATTCCTTCTTTCTACAAATATAGTTTTAAGTACTGGCTATTTTGGCAAAATTACTGCTGTCATAGTAATGATGCATCCTTCTAGACTTGTCAGTATTTGATGAAAGGCAGGATCCATACCAACAAATTGTTGGCAATTTTAAATTGTGATGGTGTGTATACACCTTTCAATAGTTGGTCAAATATCCCCATTCCTGTACATAATTGTGCCCATGCAGAGCCTTACATAGACCAATAGGCAGCTGTTCAAACAGTACAAGGGGATACTGCATGGTTTAGAATTAGGAAAGGTGTACATCAGGGTTGTATCCTTTCACTATACTTATTCAATCTGCGTGCTGAACAAATAATCCAAGAAACTGGACTCTATGAAGAAGAATGCAGCATCAGGATTGGAGGAAGACTCATTAACAACCTGTGATACGCAGATGACACAACCTTGCTTGCTGAAAGTGAAGAGGACTTGAAGCACTTACTGATGAAGAGCAAAGACTACAACCTTCAGTAATATATTACGCCTTTATATAAAGAAAACAAAAACCCTCACAACTGGACCAATAAGCAACATCATGATACACAAAGAAAATATTGAAGTTGTCAAAGATTTCATTTTGCTTGGATCCATAATCAACGCCCATGGAAACAGCAGTTAATAAATCAAATGACGTTTTTATTACATTGGGAAAATCTACTTCAAAAGACCTTTTTGAAGTGTTAAAAAGCAAAGATACCACTCTGAGGACTAGAAGCCATGGTGTTTTCATTTGCCTCATGCATGTGAAAGTTGGGCAATGAATAAGGAAGACTGAAGAAGAATTGATGCATTTGAATTATAGTGTTGATGAAGAATATGAAATATACCATGGACTACCAGAAAAATGAACAAATCTGTCTTGGAAGAAGTACAGCCAGAATGCTCCTTAGAAGCTAGGATGGTGAGACTCTGTCTCGTCTTTTTTGGACATGTTATCAGGAGGGACCGGTCCCTGGACAAGGACATCATGCTTGGTAAAGCAGAGGGCCAGGGAAAAAGAGGAAGACCTCCAATGAGATGGACTGACACAGTGGCTGCAACAATGGGCTCAAACATAGCAAGGATTGTGAGGATGGCACAGGACCAGGCAATGTTTTGTTCTGTTGTACATAAGGTCGCTGTGTCGGAATGGACTTGATGACACATGACAACAACAGCATACAAATTTCAGAATGCATTGATAACTGTTTAAAAAAAAAATCAGTTTATTAGATTTCTAATCCACTTCATGAGCCAGCTAGGACATTTCTGTTGGTTTTCAGTTGTCTGTAGTATTTTTCCAAACTTAGAAGCAACCCATCTTTCAGTTCATACATCATACTATCTGCAAAATCACTAGTTTCCAAGAATAGGTCATAACTTTACAGTTATCCTTTGCTCTACCCTGGCTATGAGTCTAAGCTCATCACGTGGCTTCCTTAAGACATATGAAAGGCCAGAACGTACAGGAATAAGTCAATCATAAAATTGCTAAATCTTGCCTCTTCTGCTAATTTGATTTTGGCCTAAAACTATTCCTATCATTTGGTTCACAACATCTACATCTCCTGAGGATACTGTTCTTTCATTCTTCGTCTCTGAGAAAAAGAAAGATACAAAAATGTTATAATAAAGTTATTAAAATAATGAATTTTCATTCCACATAGTTTTTAATGAATTTGTTCCAGGATTTTTTTTTTTTAATTACTTAGTTTATACATTTTATTTTCCTGAAAAGCTACACCTCATCAGTTACAGAAAATAGAACTACCCGCTTCTGAAAATTCTCTTGAGGAGGCAATCGACATCTCATGATTAAATATTTCATAGCTTCAAAACCTTTATTGTTTAAAGCTTGTTTCATCTTGTTGTGTTCTTATTAGATCTATAAATATGCCTTCTATGTCTTTTCAAGTTGCCTTTCAAGTATTTTGGCTTATAAATTCCCTATAATATTTACTTACTTACTAAGAAACCAAATCTTTCCAGTCCACACATAAAAATAATTTTCCCCTCAAACTTTTATAGTCTTGTTGTGTCTCTCCACTTTCTCTTTGTTCAATTTAATTTTAAGTGCTCAGATAATGCTGCATATTCCATGAAGATAGTCTCATAGACTTTCCATACAGAACTTCCACTTTTACAATCTCTATTTGCTCATTTTGGTGAAATATTCTGACTCTACTTGCTTTTCTTAATTTTTTTTTTTTTTAACACAAGCAGTTGAGTCTGAAACTTCTTGGGTATAAAATCCCAAGGAAAAGAGGACAGGCCAAAATGTTCCCTGTACACGTTCCAGATATAAGTCACAACATTAAGAAAGCTATCCAAGGTTAGCCAATGTGAAAATTAAACTTTCAAAAATACCTTATGAGGGTACACAAATTTTGATACTGTCATTTTGTACTTTCTTCAATGCCATTTTGCTGCTGTTGGCAGAATGCATAGGATGGAGAATGCATAAGCTATAACAGTAACTTCCCTCCTGATATTGACATAATGTGGTGGCATCAAAAGTATTAGCTTTCGGCTTATTTCTTATTTTAGTACTATGCCCAATCTATACCCTCACCTGACTATGGGAACATACCTACTCCTATTCATATTACCAAAACACCCTATTTCATCTGATTGAAAGTTTCTCTTAAAGGTCTCACAAAATACTTCTCCTTAACTCCAAAAAGAATGGCACCAAAACCATTTGAGATGGATTATCTAACTTACTCTAAGTATTTCCTGGAGAAAAACAAAATCATAACAGTAAAACCATATACCCCCATGGGATATCTTTTTCAATATATTTCAACTTTTACTATGCGTCTAGCCTAAATCTTTTATGCTGCAATTTAACTTCATGTTCTTTTGTCTTAGTAGACACTCTTCAATGGAAAAGAGATGCTATAATCTATTACCAAAAAAGTGGATGTATATACTGAAGACAATTATTTAAGGGTGTCCCAAACCTTTGATATTTATAGATTCTAGTTGTAGAAAAAATAAGTTCTTAATATTTTTTAAAAATAAAATCTCAACATTAGCAGTGTAATGGTTTACTAGTGTATATAGCTCGGGGTGGCAGGATGGGTAGTTGGAGAGAGTATTTGGGATGAAAGGTATTTTACCATATACAATGTAGAAACCTATTCAAGTAGCATTTCCTAGGAGTTGTATAATCAACTTCAATCTTGCTTCAAGCCCAGCACCCCACCTCATCCCAAATTCCCCCAGCCAGTACATTGTTTATACCAGCTTGATCAGGGAGCCTGTCAATGTCATTTGTGTATTTTATAATTGCTATTTCAGGGATATGATGAACCCTGGAGTAATGTACTGTACTTGGCAGCAACTGCCTCAGCTTTTGGGCACATATGCTTCAAATCTGAGAATATCATAGATATATATGGGAATCTTTGTAGAGATCTCTGAGGCAAGCTGGTATTTAACGCAAAAGCAAACCCATTTCGAGCTAAAGCACTTTCCATT